AACTCTACAGGGACTAGTCCTTTGGTTATCTAGCCAATTACTGCATGCTTTCTTTTAAGTCATTCAACGTGCACTTATTGAACATCCACCATTGGCAAGATGCTAAAAGAACTAGATTAATTATATGGTCACCCATATCAGCAAACTCTCTAGTTTATACCCAGAATGCAGTCTTCTATAAAGAGAAAAATATGCAAGCTTTAATTAATCTAGTTACAGAAATTGTGTGTCATAAAATACAATAAATGGTGAGTGCTCTCAAGGAGTTTACTGTCTAAGGAAATTATGTGGTTTCACAGGAAGTAGGATTTAAGCTGAATCTTAAATAATTTGTAAAACTAAATAGACAGAAAGGAGTGGTAAAGATATACATGACCAGGAAACAGTACGAGCAAAGTCAGAAATGTGCATATTCAATGATTTTTCAAGAGACTGAGTTTTTGCATATTTCATAATTATGCAAACTTTGTTATCCAGTATGTTTAACCAGATGAGGGATTATAGAAACTGCAGTGAATGAAGTACTTTGAGCATTTAAATACTCCTCAGCATATCTATCCATGCCAAACAATACTGCTAGGTAACTTATTTCTACCTTCAGTTCTCCTCTTTGCAACTCCAAGTTTCTTTAGATTTGTCACAAAATTTATTCTTTCTCATAGTTCTGGAAATTTTACTTCTCATCAACAGAATTGACTTACAAGGGCATTGACCATGGACTTTAGGATCTTTAGTGTTTCCCTAACGCTATTCAGAGATCCTTGACCCTTAGCATAGCCTCTCTACTCTGGAAAGCTGGACCTAACAAACTTACTGTAGGAGCCAAGTTAAATGATTCCTTTCTGTTACCCTCAAGGGGCCTCAGCCAGTGCTGTCTTGACTCTGGGTAATACTTCAAACTTTTATTATATTATGTAGCTCTAATAAGTTGTTTAAAATCTTTATTAATATCTTTTGAGTTGTTATGAGTTGAAGAGGTAACTTTATCTCACCTCTCTGATTTCATTCTTAATACTACCTCTCCCTTATGTGTCCTTATGTATAAATAGTCATTGTAGTTTAAATAATTCTCATCAACATTGTTTATTGGGTCATCACAAGAGACTTGAGAAGCGGAAAAAGCAGATATAATTATCATCATATTGCAGATGTAAAAACAGCTTGAGAATCTTAAAGTGTCTTACTCAAGATGATGTAGTTAAGAAAGAACAAAGATGAGACAAAAACTCAACTTTAATTAGTATCAGTTAGTTCAGCTGTGGTGCCAGTCTTGCCATTCTCAGAACTTCTGTACTCCAGTGTTTTGGGGAACAAAGAGTAAAGAGATGGAGTTGGCTATCTGACTGTCTCTAGAAATAATGGATTAAGGTAACTGCATGTAGCCCTTCTCTAAAAGTACATGTAAATTGAAAATTTCTGGGGAATTTTGATAACTTCAAGAGAGTTGGTAAGTCAGTCTGTTTTCTGTACTTCTCTAAACCTAATGGATAGTGTTCATTATTTATGAATACAATTGGCTGTTTTCAAAAAATGGATTAATGTATCTCATATAAGACTTCAAATGCATAGGGGAATTTTTACAAAATGCCCCTAAAAATGAAGGACACAATGGCCAGAATGAGCAGATGTTTTCTTAAGAGCATTATGGTAAGTAGAAAATAACTTCACTGAGAGCAATAAAAATGTTTTGAATATACTGTTTCCTAATGAAAAAATAATAATTTTTAAAATTTAATTATATATGGTGGTATTTATATTCAAGAAAATGTTAAGTGTTGGAAACAGCTAATCATACCTCAGTGATCTGGAACTCAAACATCTGGCAACCTCATCTATCTAAACACAGCTGGTAGAACTAGGAAGGAAACAAAATAATCTTGAATTGCCAAAATAGATGTCCTAATGTCCATAAACTAAAACCCATACACTTTGTTTCATAAAAGATTTTCCCTTTTCCACACATATCCTTTCCAAATAAAATTAAAGATTTTTAATTTATTAATTTAATTTATTTATTAATTTAACAATAATGAGTAAAGGATTTACTCATTATTGTTAAATTAATGCTCTTCTTACTAGCTTGATTAGTGTGTTTTCAAAACTATAAAAGATTAGAAAGGACTAATGAAAATGATAGAGACTTCTTTAAACAGGCCCACTGACAGAAGCAAAAGATGAGAACTGATAGTTTGAAATGAAGAAGATATAAGTACTATATAATAAAAACCTTTATGGGACCATTCTATGTAGATACAAACATCCCCACAGATTCCAATTACCTTGATAAAAGCAATGTATACAGTACAATAACTGATGTTTAAAATGATGACCTTCAGTTATCCTGAAAAGATTATATTAAATGTTAGAGTTGGCGCTCCTTAAATAACAACAACAAACATTTGTAAAATGTTTTAGTGTTTAGAAAGCACTTTCTTTTTATATTTGCATTTATCTTTTTATTTTAAAAATGTGGAGTACAATTCTGGATGAGGTACACAAGTGGTCATTATACAGGTAACGCTTGGACCTACCTTTGGTCCCCACTTCGCCTGGTTTGAGATCAGGTACCCTCATTGGTGTTATGGGCTCCCTCCCAGGAAGTTTCCAGCTACAGTTAATCCCTTTATTATAGTATTATGGTAAATGCTCAGAGTCCGCTTATGAGTGAGAACATGTGGTACTCAGTTCATAAAGCACTATATAACCCTCATATATATAGTTCCTCATGTATATATATGTTTCATATCGATTCAGCCTAGTCCAGCCCTTTTAGGTACACATAATAAAACTGAAAATAATTTGCCCAAGGTAACATAGCTTATCGGTGACAGACCTGAGACTAGGATACTGTTCCTCTGAATCTAGATTAGTGCTTCTTTCATAGACCATGTCCCTTTGTTTAACACAAACCACTTAAGTGGATAGGAAAAAAATATGTTTTAGAAATATTTACAACTAAAATCACGTTAAAATGCCCAAGAAGTTAAAGAGCTACACAATCATTATAACAAAATACAATTGTCTAAAATACAGATCCCTAGCATATTTAAGAAAATCTAGGTTTTTATCCTGTCCCTCCATCAAGCCCATGGCAAATGTTATCTGCTTTTGTTTTGATAAGAATTTCTATTTAAAAAAATCATACAAATAAACCATTATCTACATTTGTGATATTATAAGGACTAAAAGTAAGTCTTTATAGTTTCATGAAATTAGCCTCTGCTTTCTTTTTAATATGTCATTTTAACGAAACTCAATATATGAAAATTTTAAGTTTCAAATTTTCCAATGGGCATGATTTGTATTACAAAATGATTAATCACGAGTATTTTAAAATTAGAAATTTTTTGGCCGGGCTCGGCAGTGCCAGTATATAAAAACATGCATCACATCATACTCACTGACAGACATCCAAGCAAATAGCCTTCATTTTAAGACCTGAAACTCAAGTTTACGAAATATGTTAGAACACAACCTTATTTTGTGTTCAAACCATATGTGTGAGTATGAATCCCATGACACTTTTGAAATATCTGTATTTGAGGTTCATCTGAATTGTTTCCCCAAGGAGAGAAAATAAAAGTGTCAGAGAATTTCAAGTTTAAATGATGTAGCTCCCATAACTCATATTGTTATTTTATTTTTTTTTTTACTTTAAAAAAAATTTTTTTGTAAAGATATGGGGTACAATTCAGGGTTAGGTATACAAACATTGATCATGCAGGTACCCCTGTTAATGAATTATGTCCCTCCCTCCCCTAGCAGTTTCCCTCAACTGCCAATTCACCCCCCTCCAACAGTTTCCCATTACTGCCAGACACTTTCTTATAGCATTATAATTGTTCAAGATCATCTTATGAGTGACAACATATGGAACTCTGTTCTTTGTTTCTGTGATAAATCACTGAGCATGATAGACTCCAAATCCATTCAGGTTACTGCAAAGTCCATCTATTTGCCGTTCTTTATCATCCACTTGTTTTCTTTTTTTTTTATAATCGATATTTTTTATTTTGATATTGTGTACAGTCAAGGGTTAGGTGTACAAATATGCTTCATTCAGGCCCCCTTGTTGATAATTGGTGTCTCCCCGTCTCCAGACAGCTGTTTACTACTATTAGTCCCATCTCCCCCCTATAGTTACCGAACACTGTCAGTCATTTTCTTATAGTAGTGCATTGAATGATCAAGGTCCACTATATGAGTGCGAATATGTAGTACTCTGATCTTTGTTTCTGTGAGAGGTCACTTAGTATTATAGACTCTAGCTCCATCCAGGTTGCTGCAAAATTCATGATTTTGTTCTTTTTTATGGCTGCATAGTATTCCATCGTGTATATGTACCACATTTTTTTGATCCAGTCCTCTTTTGATGGACAGTGTGGTTGTTTCCAGGTTCTTGCTATTGTGAACAACGCTGCGATAAACATACGTGTGCAGGTATCTTTTTTATAGAGTGATGTGAGTTCTTCAGGGTATATTCCCAGTAGGGGTTTGCAGGGTCATATGGGAGGTTGATGTTTAGAGCTTTTAGGAATCGCCACACTGCTTTCCACAGAGGTTGCACTAGTTTACACTCCCAATATTAAAGAGCCTTTTCTCTTTAATCCAGTCTGCTGAAGTAGTGTATATTTTCTAAATGAACTTAGAGTCATATTTCTCTGATACACACTTTTCAATGTTTGTACAATTCACTTATGTCTGTTTTCAACTTACATTTTGTTTCTTTTATGATAAACTGAAAAGATTCAAACTGCTGCTGAGAAATAGATGTATAATTGATTCTGTTGTTCATCACTTGTTGCAACGAAAGATTCTTTTTTTACATGCTCCAGAGAAGTATATATTTCTATTTAGATGGACAATATAGGTATAAATAATTCCTTTGGAAGAATCACTTTGATAATAAAGGGAAGGAAGCCATGTTTCTTTAAGACACTCAACCACATGTTTAAAAAAATTTAAAGTGACAGCTAAATTGAAAGAGAAAATAAATTATGCTAGCTAATTATTTGATTACATTGTCTTGGAATCATCCAAACATTCAAGAGAGGTAGTTTGAAGATCTTTCTTCCTCTAGTGAATTTTCAAAGCACTGTCCTGACATTTCACACACGACTGAAAAAACAAGCCATTATGTTCTGAAAGTTGATCATGAAATTCTGAGGTCATGAAATAATACACAACTGGATCAAGATAGCAATTCAGATTAGCAATACACAGATAAATGATGTGAAAATAGAGTGTGCTCTTAATAAAGGAGCAGTTTGAGAAGACATGTTGCTTCACCATAATAAAGAATGGGAAGTTGAGGTGGTAAGGGGTGAAACATACAACGAACACAATTGCACACATCAGAACTATTCTCAAAGCTTTTTTTCTCTCTTCGCTATTCTGAGGGGGAGTTTGAAATTCCTGTAAATATTTTCTTGTTTTCCATGTGCAATAAGTAATAATTACAACAGGCAATACAAATCCTCCAAGTTCGGCTACAGTTTCCATACCAATGGAAGAAGCCATGCTAATGTGGCTAAGTTTTAAATCAGCAAAGCAGAATTCAGTGTGGTTGGCTAAGTCAGTGCTTCTCAGAATAGAAAGTGTCAAACAGGCAGTCCCCACAATGACCCAGATGGCAGCGCTGATGCCCAAATCATACCTACGCTTCCAGTCTCTGGTCCTGAAGGACTTGAGAAGAAAAAAGCACCTCTGAAGGTTGATGGAGGTCAGGAAGCAAATACTGGCATACATGTTGAGATACTTCAGGTAGAAGCACAGCAAGCATACAGCCTTCAGAAAAGGCCAGTGGTGGCTGATATAATAGTAAATCTGGAGGGGTAAGGACAGCACATGAGCAAGGTCAACCACAGAAAGGTTAATCATGAAAATGATAGCTTTATTTTTCTTGCTGATGAAGCAGCACAGAATCCACAAGGCTGCACTGTTGGCCAGAAGACCAGGATGAATATGAGGATATAGGTAGTTGCATAGAGGGGGTACTGAAATGGCATTTCAAGATCAGTGCACTTTGCTCTTTTACTGTTTCTGTTGTTACTTCTCATCTTGAGGATTTATGTTTCTTCCTTAGGGAAATCATTAGCATGATGCTTTCTGCAAAAATGAAGTGAAAATGGGGTCAAGGGTGTGTCAGTTCATGTTTGAGTAGACAAATACATATAAATAATACAAAGAAATCTTCAAGTGTGAACTTTGATAAATTCAAAGGTCTTGTCTATGTGAACTGAAAATAGCATACTGGTCTACAAATAGATAACAGTACTGATGAAGCTATTTTCAGGAATCGAAAAGATTGGTAGTTTATCAATAGCCTCATTCAGGTTTTTGTCTTAGTAGTGAGAGAGAGTAACCAAATTGGCAGACCTAAACAACAGACAAGACCACTGTCGGTGACCTGCACTGACCAGAGGGAGGGTTAGGACCGCACCGGTGAATCAGAGACGGAGAGAAGAAAACTACTCGGAGGCAGCTCTTCTGGGAACAGTCTGGCCAAGACTGAAGCCGATTTTATTCAAACCTTTTCCAACTTATATACCATTTTCTATACCCTCCAGCAATGTGATAATCACTCACTGGGGGCGTACAAGTTTCGTGCTTTACAAACTATGCATCACAAGACCACCACAAGATCTGCAATTTCCAAGCAAACAATTCAAATTCCATGATGCCTGCCGTGCTTACATCAAGGTCACAGGTGCACAATTTCAATACAAATCGTTCAAAGTGTTTTCCATAATGTTCAATGAATCATTCATATTATACTCTTTGCTCTATACCCTGATAATACAAAAAACTTT